CTTCCAGAGTTACCATAAAATTATGAATGAGTACATCCCGCATTTTGTAGGGGGCCTGTCACAGAATCAAGGCATCCCGTTATAGATACAGCTGAAAGCAACATTATCTTCCTGTAATTCTTTGATTCAGGATACTTAGTACTGAAGGCTGAAAAGAGGGAGCGAGGAAAAGTTATTTCACAAATATGTCACCATGTTTTAGAAAAGCAAGAGATCTAACTGAATATTGCAGGCCTCAAGAAAACAGAAACACAGGGGGCTAGTGTCATGTGGCTCATGATGGCAGAGTCTGGATCATGAAGCCCAGTGTCCTTTACGCCAGCAACTTTGATGGCAAGGTGATGCCTTGTTTTTATTTAGTATATTCAGAGAGCAAGATTCCTACAATTCTTTGAATGATTTTAGCCATTAAAGTCCAGAATAGTCTATTCGAATTAGCAAAATAAAATCATCACGGGAAGTATTTTATCAGAAGATGTCCTTTTTGAAATAAGTGTGTTTTTAAAAATTTTACTTATTTCTTGTTTGATTTTAATTGCATCTCATAATTAAAAGAGGAAAGATTATCTACCTGAGAATGTAAACATAGGTTAATAGGTATGCATAATTTGACTGTTTTGCATAGATCCAAATATACCCATGTTTTATATACATAAAACAAAGTGTTTACAGTGATTACTTCTGGGCTTGAGGGGATTTTTTACCTTTTTGTTTTTCTTTCCTGTGGCATTTGGATTTTGTTCCACTGAGAACGAATTGTTTTTCTAAGAAGCTGTATATCTCATTCACATCCAGGAAAATTAACCTAAAATGATTTGAATACTAGAAATTACCCCATGCAGAGCTTCTCACAAAATCTGCTTCCCTTTAATTCTGGGCAGATGGCTGTGCTACAGTTCTCAGCCTCCTCTGCAGCTAGGTGTAGCCCTGTGACTGTCGTTCCAATGAAATTTGAGTGGAAGTGAATACAATCTCTGGGGAAAACCTTAGGGAGATGCATACCACCTCCAAGAGCTCCTTCCCATTCCTCCCACTGTATGTGGATGATGAAAAGGCTTTGAATGATGGCGGAGCCACAAGATAGAAGGAACCCAGCTTCATTGATCACTACCTGCAGGAGAACCACCCTCTGACCAGATACACACTCCTTGGATTTTCATATGAGTAGAAAACAAACTTATATTGTATTTTTGCTATTATGCATTTTGGAGTATGTTATAGTAATATAATACACTTTGGCTATTGTGAACCCCTACAGGTTTTCTTTAGTTGCATGAAATTGTATGATATTCTCTATTAGATTAAAATTAATTTTAAAAAATTAGATCTACAAACTGCAAACTGTTTGCATCACCAGCAAATATTTTCTGCCTTTTTAAAAACCATTTGTCACTACAATGAACAGGCATCTATGATTTGTTTAGTCTATGAAAACACGAATAAAATGCTGGTCTCAGCTGAGGGTTCCTGCTAGAGGTATGTTTTTCAGGTGTGGGACAATGCAATTGCTTCAGTGAAAAAGTAATTGAAAACTCTATGATGCACAATTTAAATTTTTAGAATTTTTCGACTGGAATTATAACATCACAACATTTTTTCACATATGAGAAAGCTCTCTGTAAGATATTCTAAAATCTCCCATGTTAAAATCGTTGTCATTTAATACAACTTTGAGGCCACAATGACTATATATCCTAAGCACTGAGAAATATTACTTTTGAATTCCTGAAAACACATTGAGGTCCATGAAGGATGGAAAGCAGATTTATCAACTAAATTAGACCCTGCACAGTGGAAAGCTGGCAACGTTCTAGTTTTGGCATTGTTATTTTGTGTAAGATCCAGTTATCATACTTTATTATACACTGTGTATAATTCTTGACCTGGGCTAGAGACAGAAATCTTTAGCACATCTGGCTTTCATTACTCAAAGGAGCTAGTCCTGGGAAATAATGATTATATTCCTTCATGCATATTTTCAAGAGCAAATTGATCAAAAATTTGGAATTTTACATTACTTGCATTGACAGCTTTAATTTTTTATTCTCTTAAGATCCAAGTGCATGCTTTAAACAAAACTGCTTGCTAACAGAGGATGTTGATGTTTTGCTGGGAAGTATACCGCAAATTAGCCTAACAGCAGGCAGGCGGGGCTGCTGTTGACAAAGACAGACTCAAATTTTGTTATTTCATGGTTGTGATTGTTCATAAGGAAAGAAACAATTCTTTTGGATTCCAAATAATTTTTTTTCTGACTGACAGACTTTAAAATAGCAGTTAAGAATGCACTTTTAAAAATATACGGCCTTTCCCCAGAACTTGACAAAACTTAAATATCACTACCAATTTTTGACAGTCAGATACTTCAAAAAATGCTATTTACATTTAACAGATAGGAAATTAAAACTATGGAAAAAATTGTTTTGGCATTAACATATTATAACAGGATTAGTAATTGATCCTGAGAATTCCCATCAAGATATTGCCAGAGACCCAATCACCCTTGGGAAGAGGAAACAAAGTTCCTTTGCCATACACCCTCTTCACTGGGTTTTCATTTCCCTGCAACAGTTCCCTAGCATGATATTTTAGTAGCTGCTGGGTTCATTTGAAAGCTCATAAAGTAATAATGTCAATTAAAAATATTAAAAGCGTTTTTCCCTGGGCTCTCGTTCCTGCATGAATGAAATGCCTATATGAATGTAATCCAAATTTGGAAATGCTGGAAGCCAGAAAAAATAAGAACCACCGAGAAAGAAAGTCGAGGGAAAAGCCAAGCTTGAGTGAGAATTTAACTTGTGATTTTGCTACAAAAATTTTTACTGGAGCATCTGGATAATTGTGAAAACAGAGTTTTTCCTTTTAGTTCCCACTAGACATCGACTGGTGTCACCGTCAAACTACGTAAGGTTTTTTTTGTAAGTACAGCTGCACACACTACTTAGACAGGGTTTTCTAAAAACTATATATTTTTTGTGCCTGAGAAGTTTTGTCTGGTGAAGATTCTCAGAATAATATTTTGAAACGTGTAAAATAAAATAAAGGGTAGTTATTTTCTACTGCTGCTGTACCAAATTATCACAAATTTGGGGAATGAATACAAATTTACCTTACAGTTCTAGAGGTCAGAAGTCTGATAGCTGTCTCAATGGGCTAAAATTAAAGTGTTGACAAGGCTGCATTCCTTTTTGGAAGATCTAAAAGAGGATATGTTTCCTTGCCTTTCCCAGCTTCTCAAGGCCACCCACATTTCTTGGCTCACGGAACCCCTTTTTCCATCTTCAAAGACTGCAAAGGTGATCAAGTCCTTTCCATCGCCCTCTTTGATCACAACTAGGAAAGGTTCTTTTCTTCTATAAACACATTTGATGAGCCCATCTTTGTGATTCAGGATAATCTCCCCACCTGGTGGAATCTCCCCAGCAGTTTCCCTAACCTTAATTATATTTGTACAGTCCGTTATGCCATTTGTAAGATCATATTCACAGGTACTGGGGATTAGAGTGTGGGCTTCTTTGGTGGCCATTGTTTTACCTAGTAGAACTATAGATAAAAGAATTATGTGGGAATTAGCAATAACAATATATTAAAAACCAAATTTTTGACATAATAATAAATGCTTGTCTTTGTTAATGCATAAAATAACAAGAGCTAGAACAGATCTAAAAATGTCCATATGTTCAAAAGTGTTGTACCTAAATTATTTTTCTGCAATGACTGTAATGAAGTATGAAAATGTCTGTAATTCCTATTTGTGATGGTCACAGAAATTGCTAATACTACTGTGGTTTGTTGTTTATATTAATATTTGTAGAAAATGCTAAGTTTCAGCTAGATATAAAAAGTAAAGGTATGATTTTTCCCCTATCCAAGATCATAGACTGTTTTCCAAGAACCTCTTATTCTAAGGAGACATCAAGAATTAAAACACTGGGAGTGTCAAAAAGAGTACAGACCCTTTTCTGCGAGTCATGCAAATTATCTTGAATGACAGGAGTGAGGGTTTCCATAATGCCAGGAAAATACAAATATGTTGAAGCTCTGTCTATTCTACAAAGCCTTCTTGGACATTTTTAAGGGCACAATGATAGCCTAAACCCTTGTTATTTTATCTCTCAATTTGACATTTTATCATACAATTTGACATGTTATTATAGAAGATCTCAATTTGACATTTTATCTTGGGACATTAGGTATCTTCGTATGTGTATGTTTCTTACTGCTCTAGGGAGACTGGAAACTCTGGAAGCAGAAGTGATTTATGTATTTTTTCTTTTGTGGAGTTTTGAGGGCATTCTAGAGTAATAATGACTGAACATTTATGAAGGAATTGAATAGCCAATTAATGATCCCCACTGGACTTACACAGGTATTTGGGGGAAAATGTCAAATTTCCACATGTGCTTAGTTAGCTGAGTCATTTTGAAATAGTCTTCAGAATGTGATACAAGAAAAGAGTTAGAGGTGTTTTGCTCTTTTCTCTTTCACTAACCAGCCGTGTGATCCTGAGTAAATGACTGCATCTTTTCTGGATTTGAAGTCCATCCTTTGTTAAATGGAAGGACTGGATAATATAATCTTTGAAGTCCCTTCCTTAAGAGTTTGCGAATCAAAGACTTTAGATCACTGTCATCAACATTACTAAAGCTTTTCATACTTCATTAGGACTGAATTCAAGCTTCCAGGATTATTCATCTTCCCTGTGTTGGTTAATGTGAGTGTCAACTTGACCGGATTGAAGGATACAAAGTCTTGGTCCCGGGGGTGTCTGTGAGTGCATAGCCAAAGGATATTAACATTTGAGTCAGTGGGCTGGAAAAGGCAGACCCACCCTTAATTGGGTGGGCACCATCTAATCTGCTTTCAGTGAGTATAAAGCAAACAAAAAAAAAAAAACGTGAAAAGGAGAGACTGGCCTAGCCTCCCAGCCTACATATTTTTCGTGTGCTGGACGCTTCCTGCCCTCGAACATTAGAATCCAAGTTCTTCAGTTTTGAGACCTGGACTGGCTCTCCTTGTTCCTCAAGCTTGCAGACAGCCTATTGTGGGAACTTGTGATCATATAAGTTAATACTTAATAACTCCCCTTGGGCTGGGCGCGGTGCACTTTGGGAGTCCGAGGCCGGTGGATCACGAGGTCAAGAGATCGAGACCATCCTGGTCAACATGGTGAAACCCCGTCTCTACTAAAAATACAAAAAATTAGCTGGGCATGGTGACGCGTGCCTGTAATCCCAGCTACTCAGGAGGCTGAGGCAGGAGAATTGCCTGAACCCAGGAGGCAGAGGTTGCGGTGAGCCGAGATCGCGCCATTGCACTCCAGCCTGGGTAACAAGAGCAAAACTCTGTCTCAAAAAAAACAAAAACAAAAACAAAACAAAAACAAAAAAACTCCCCTTTATATCTATCTATCCTATTAGTTCTGTTCCCCTAGAGAACCCTGACTATTACATTCCCCAAGTAGTATAAAATTTAAATGCCTAAACACTAAGACTTTACTGAGAAGGTAAATTGTGACTATATAAACACACCTCTAATAAAATGTGCTCCTTCTTGTCCAAAGATTCATTTGGAGTGATATTCCATCTCCAGGCCTAATTAAACTGTTTTACATTTAGATGAAAACAGGATTAAGTGGTGAGTCTTTGGAAACTTTTTAAATGAAAGCATCCTGTGAACTTTTCAACAACTTTCTAACAAGCACTGTAGTATTTTCATGACTTAATACTCACTGAACAGACCATGGCAACAACAGCCATCAGTGATCCTCTGAGCAAAAACTGGAAAAGGAGGGACTTTTTCATAACCCATTCTATGATGCCTGCATCATCCTCATACCAAAACCTGGCAGAGATATGACGAAAAAAGAAAACTTCAGGACAATATCTTTAATGAAAATCAGTACAAAAATCCTCATTCAAATACTGGCGAACTGCATCTAGCCGCACATCTAAAGTCAAAATCAAGTTGGCTTCATCTCTGGGATGAGGATGCAAAGTTGGTTCTCTGGGATGCGAGATTGGTTTGACATACACAAATCAATGTGATTCAACACATAAACAGAAATGAAGATGAAAACTACATGATTATCTTGATAGATGCAGAAAGGCCTTCAATAAAATCCAGCATCTCCTCATGTTAAGAACTCTCAAAAAAGTAGGTATTGAAGGAAAAACCTCAAAATAATAAAAACAATGTATAAAAAACCCATAGCCAATATCACACTGAATGGGAAAAAGCTGAAAGCGCTCCCCTTGAAAACTGGCATAAGACAAGGATGCCCTCTGTCACCACTCCTATTCAACATAGTACTGAAAGTTCTGCTCAGGGCAGTTAGGCAAGAGAAAAAAATAAAGCATATTCAAATAGGAAGTAAGGAAGTCAAATTATCTTTGTTTGCAGATGACATGGTCCTATATCTAGAAAATCCCATTGTCTTACCCCAAAAGCTTCTTAAGCTGATAAGCAACTTCAGGAAAGTCTCAGGATATAAAATCAATGTGCAAAAATTAATAGCATTCTTATACACCAACAACAGGCAAGCAGAGACCAAATCATGAATGAACTCCCATTCACAATTGCTGTAAAAAGAATAAAATACCTAGGAATACAGCCAACAAATGAAGTGAAGGACTTCTTAGGGGTGAACTTACAAACCACTGCTCAATGAAATCAGAGAGGACAAAAACAAATAGAGAAACATTTTATGCTCATGCATAGGAAGAATCAATATGGTGAAAATGGCCATACTGCCCAAAGTAATTTACAGATTCAATGCTATTCCCATTAAGCTACCATTGGCATTCTTCACAGAATTAGAGAAAAACTATTTTAAAATTCATATGGAAGCAAAAAAGAGCGTGAATAGCCAAGACAATCCTAAGCATAAAGAACGAAGCTGGAGGCCTCATACTACATGACTTCGAACTATATTACAAGGCTACAGTAACTAAAACAGCATGGTACTGGTACAAGAACAGACACGTAGACCAATGGAACGGGATGGATAATTCAGAAATAAGACCACCCACCTACAACCATCTGATCTTAATAAAGCTGACAAAAACAAGCAATGGGGAAAGGACACTGTATATACTAAATGGTGCTAGAAGTGCTGGCTAGTCATATGCAGAAAATTAAAACTGGATCCCTTCCTTACACCATATACAAAAATCAACTCAAGATGGATTAAACACTTAAATGTAAATCCTAAAACTATAAAAACCCTAGAAGAAAACCTAAGCAATACCATTTAGAAAATAGGTGGCGAAGATTTCATGATAAAAACACCAAAAACAATTGCAACAAAAGAAAAAAACTGGCAAATGAGATCTAATCAAATTAAGGAGCTTCTGCACAGCAAAAGAAACTATCATCAGAGTGAACAGATAACCTACAAAATAGGAGAAACTTTTTGTAATCCATCTGTCTGACAAAAGTAGACATTCGGAGTTTACAAGGAACTTAAACAGATTTATAAGAAAAACCAGACAATCTCATTTGTAAGTCGACAAAGGACATGAATAGGATACTTCTTAAAAGAAGACATACATGCGGCCAACAAACATATTGAAAACAAGTTCAACACCACTGATTACTAGAGAAAGGCAAAGCAAAGCCACAATGAGATACCATCTCACGCCAGTCAGAATGGCAATTATTAAAAAGTCAACAAACAACAGATTCTGATGAGGTTGTGGAGAAAAAGGAGCTGTTGGTGGGAGTGTAAATTAGTTCAACCTTTGTAGAAGACAGTGTGGCGATTCCTCAAAGACCTAGAACCAGAAATACCGTTTGAACCAGGAATCGCATTACTAGGTATATATCCAGAGGTATATACATCATTCTATTATAAAGATACATGCATGTATATGTTCACTGCAGCACCATTCACAATAGCAAAGACATGGAATCAACTCGAATGCCCATCAGTGATAGACTGGAGAAAGAAAGCATAGTACCTATACACCATGGAATACTATGCAGCCATAAAAAGGAACACTATCATGTCTTTTGCAGGGACATGGATGGAGCTGAAAGCCATTATCCTGAGCCAACTAATACAGGAACAGAAAACCAAACACCACATGTTCTTACTTATAAGTGGAAATCATATGGTGAGAGCACACAGACATGTTGGGGTAAGGGGACAACACACACTGGGGCCTGCTGATGGCAGAAGGTTGGAGGTAGAGAGAGCACCAGGAAGAATAGCTAACGGATGCTGGGCTTAATACCTAGTTGATGGGATGATCTGTGCAACAAACTACATGGCACGTGTTTACCTATGTAACAAATCTGAACGTCCTGCTCATGTACCACTGAACATAAACTAACAATTGAAGAACAAGAAAAAAGAGATAGGGGCTTCTAGGAGGTGCTTAAGTCATGAGGGCAAAGCCTTCATGAATGGCATTAGTGCCTTTATAAAAGAGGTGGGGGTGAGCTTTTTTCTCTTTTGCCATATGAGGACACAGCGAGAAGGCAACATCTATAAAGCAAAGAGTCCTCACCAGATACTGAATCTGCTGGTGCCTTGATTTTGGACTTCCCAGCCCTAGAACTGTGAGCAGTACATTTCTATTGTTTATAAATTACCCAGTCTGAGGTGTTTTATGGTAACCTGAATGGACAAGGTTGTAGGCTGAGCTTTAACAGTCAAATTAATAAAATGCGCAAACAAGGAGTAATTTGTTTCAAAAATATATTCATTGATATGTTGAATCAATATATAAACGAAACAGCCTCTCCTTAGGACTAACATAGGTATTTTGCTGCTATTAACACAAGTTACTTGCTTTCCTACAATCATAATTTCCTCTTATACCTCCTTTTACCTTAATTACCCATCTCACTTTCCCTATTGAAATTCTCCTCATTGTGTAAGGTGCAACTCAAATGCTGTCATCCCAGTGAAATGTAACCCCACAGTTACCACAGTTTGGAAAAAAAAAATTTAAGTTTTGATAGCAATGCATTAGTGTCTTCTTTTTGGCACTTTATGCCTTCAATTATGTTTGTGCACATGAGTCCCTAAATAGGTGTTAAGCTCCTGAGCAGCAGAGACCTCCGATGAAAACTTCAGTGTTTTGCGTTTAACCAAAGTATGTTGAACTGATATTAATTGAATATCTACTGTGTCTGTGCAGTAGCTCAAAGATCATTCATCAGACATGCTTTAATCTTTTGCAGTCCATTTTGTGGTGATATATATATATTTGTTCCTGTTATACTGATACATATATATATACACACTGATATATATATACACACACAGATATATATATATATATATCAGTATACATATACACATACACTGTATATATATGTATAATATATATATACTGATATATATATATACACACACTGATATATATATATATCTCAGTATAACAGGAACAAAAAAGTCACTAGCAGATGACATTAGCAAATAAGTTATGCTATCATTTACTTTGCTTTTTGTTCCACACAATTAAAACAATATTTTCAGAGGGATTACTGATACATATGTATATATCTGATATATATCATACATAGACATATATACAAATATACTATTTCTGAATGCCATTCTACCTTCAAAGCTGAGATTTTTCTCATAAATGGTACCAAAAAATAATAAATTCATCTTAGAGTTTTTGCTATAGAAACTTGGAATAAATTACTCTAAGCTGCTTGGTTGGCAGATATTTGGGAATACGTGTAGGGGGATACTTAGAAACAGTACCTCAAGAGAGTATTGAGAAAAGCATCAACAAGAATATATACTCATTTGTAAATAACTAAACACATCTCGTGTTTCCTTTTAAATTCAGCACCAAAAAGGGGAGGCATGCTGTTTGCATTCTTCATCAATGTAGAAATAAAATCTCCATTCAGGAGAAAAACATCAGTGAATTCTTTTCATACCGTTCTATATAGGAGTCACCCCCAGGAAGAGTTTACTGAAGAAAAAAAACATGGTGTCATTCAGGGTCATAAGGGCCAATTTATTTTGGATCCAATGTACTG